CGCGTGCTCCGCGCGCCAGGGAGGGGGGTTCCAGCGCCCATCCGAGAATTCCGCGCGGACCTCCGAGTTTTTATGTTCATGTCATTGTTCGTCCCCTCACTTACGTCGTTGCACCGCAGAGGACTGGGAGGCCGGAGGCGTCGTCCAGGACGTGGTCACCGACGGCCCCCTCCAGCTGGGCGACATCGAGATGCCGGTGGGGTCGATCATGGTGGCGTTCCAGAACGGGGCCGCCCTGAAGTGGGTCTGGGCCCAGGAGGGCGATAGAAGAAGCTCAGGAGGAAGAGGAGCACACAGACACAATGAATCGTCGATTCCCCAGAAGAGATGGGAAGATATGGGAAGATAGGAGGGAAGACAAAAACCCAGAAAATATGGGAAAATGTAGGGAATCCTGTTCTTTGTGTCTATCTATTCGTGTGTCCCAGGGCCCCTTCAGAACTCGTGGGCGACGGCGCGGCCATCCGCGCGTGAGCGTCCCGCGTGAGCAGTGGTCGCGAGCGGGCGCCCTCGTATCCGCGCCGTGTGCCACGCTGGCGGCCGGCCTCCCTCCTCCCTCCTCCCTCCTCCCTCCTCCCTCCTCCCTCCTCCCTCCTCCTCCTCCTCCTCCTCCTCCTCCTCCTCTCATCCTCCTCCTAATCCTCCTCCTCCTCCTCCTCTCCTCTCCTCCTCCTCCTCCTCCTCGATGCTTGCTCCTCGTCCTACTCCTCCTCCTCCTCCTCCTCCTCCTCCTCCTCCTCCTCCCTCCTCCGTCCCCGGCGCAAGCCGCGGCGTGAGCTCACCGCGTCTGCTCGCGTGAGGCCTGTTTTTTTGTTTGTTTCTCTCTCGGCGGCGACATCCGAACCCTGCCCTCGCCTCCCGTCGATTCAGGGTACAGTGGTGTTTTTTATACATGCTCCGCGTGCGGATCATGTATTTAATTATCCCGGCAAAGCAACCTAACAGCGATGTGTAGGAGCATATCTGGAAGCATTCCCCTTAAGATTCAGATGAGAATCCAGTTGTAGAATTCTGCTGTTCTCGCAGTCGTAGTCGCATTCGCAATGACAGTCGCAGTGGCAACGGCAGTCGCAGTCACAGCCTCAGCCTCAGCCTGCCTCAGCCTCAGCCTCAGCCTGCCTCAGCCCCAGCCTGCCTCAGCCTCAGCCTCAGCCTGCTTCAGCCTCAGCCTCAGTCTGCCTTCAGCCTCGGCCTCAGCCTCAGCCTGCCTCAGCCTCAGCCTGCCTCAGCCTCAGCCTCAGCCTGCATCAGCCTCAGCCTCAGTCTGCCTTCAGCCTCCGCCTCAGCCTCAGCCTGCCTCAGCCTCAGCCTGCCTCAGCCTCAGGTGCCTCAGCCTGTCTCCAGCCTCAGCCTGCCTCATCCTCAGCCTGCCTCAGCATTCAAAATGTGGCCCGGAATGGAATTCTGGGAACTCGAAGAACACGAAGTGGCCTACAGTTGGCTCCGGGCATTCAAAATCATGCCCAGGAATGGAGTTCTGGGAACTCGAAGACCACGAAGTGGCCTACAGTTGGCTCCGGGTATCCAAAATGTGGCCAGGGAATTGGGGTTCTGGGAAGTCGAAGAGCACGAAGTGGCCTACAGTTGGCTCCGGGCATCCACAATGCGGCCCGGGAATGGAGTTCTGGGAGGTCGAAGAGCACGAAGTGTGTGACTGTTGGCTCCGGTTATTCAAAATGTGGCCCGGGAATGGAGTTCTGGGAGGTCGAAGAGCACGAAGTGTGTGACTGTTGGCTTAAAACGAGCCTGGTTCTGTTCCCGGTTCTCCTCCCCGGCACCCGCCCAGACCCCCCTGAGGAGTCATGATGCTCTCTTTTGACACCACTAGAAACCTATCAGCAAAAGCTGTTAGGTAAAAAAGGCAGGGATTCAGTATCAAAAACAACGTTCATGCATACATGTATTCATAAATGAATCACGTATAAAATCATATATTGTTTAAACATCCTATGTATGAAAAGCTGCCCTGTAAGATCGATGGCTGGTGGGGGTAGGGTTCGGACGTCGCCCCCTGCGTCCGTCGCCCAGGACGTGCCCGCGCGCCTGAGGAGGGAGGGCGGCAGCGACGGCGACGCCTTCGACCTGGACGACTGGGCGGCCACGAACTCGGGCGGCGCGGCCGAGGTCTTCGGCTTCTCCGCGGGCGAGGACGCCGAGGTCTGGAGCAACAGCAAGGTTGGGGGAGGCGTAAGGCTTGAGTTCTGCAGAGCTCAGGAGGGGCAAACACACACGGACGCAAGGAATCGTGGATTCCCCAGGAGATGTGGGAAAAGATGGGAAGGGGGGGGGAAAGACACAAACCCGGAAAATATGGGAAAAGATGAGAAATCCTGCTCTTTGTGCCTATTTATGTGTGTGTCCCAGGGCCCCTTCAAGAACTCGTGCTTGCCGACGCTGTTTGATGGCCCGTCTTGACATCCGACGGTCCAGTTTCCGTGGGATGTTTGCAGCGGGTGTTGGCGTCAAATTTCAGACGGGGCCTCGTGATTTTCCGGACGGCCCCGTCAGGCCAGTCCGAGTCCCCCAAACCCGAGTCTCACGTCTCCCCGACAAGGGCGAGTGGATACCCTGCCTGGTCCAGGCCGTCTTCGTGCGGGAGACGGAGGCGGACGGCTTCACCGTGCCTCCCAACACCATCAAGGTGGAGTCTGAGGCCGGGACGAAGTATCTGATGGCCTTCGGTTCAGCCCGCCACCGTGCCCTCCTCCTCCGCTTCCTCCTCCTCCTCCTCCTCCTCCTCCGCCTCCTCCTCCTCCTCCTCCTCTTCGTCCTCCTCCGCCTCCTCCTCCTCCTCCTCTTCGTCCTCCTCCGCCTCCTCCTCCTCCTCCTCCGCCTCCTCCTCCTCCTCCTCCTCCTCCTCCTCCTCCTGTGGCGCTGTTCGGCCTTGCGGGGGCCTCCTGCCCAAGGCCCAAGGTCTCGGGCCATCTTTCGTCGCTCTGTGAGAGCCTCGGGGCCCGACCGCGGCTCTTGGGGGGGAGGGGGGGAGCGCCCGCGCCCTGGCACGCCGCCGCCCCAGGCCTCCTGCCTCCTCCTCCTCTTCGTCGTCCTCCTCCTCCTCCTCGTCTTCCTCCTCGTCCTCCTCCTGCCTCCTCGTCCCCCTCCTGGCTCCTCCTGCCTCCTCCTCCTCCTCCTCCTCCTCCTCCTCCTTCTCCTCCTGCCTCTTCGGTCCTCCGGAGGCCTGTCGGCGGGCATCTGTGGGCACCGCTTGGGGGCCTCTGGGAGGCCTCTTGGGAGCCTGCTCGCGGTCTCGGGAGCCACGTCGGGGTGGTGGAGGGCTCGGAGTGTCACTTCGCGCACGCCTCTCCTCTTGTCACGTTGCATCTTCGGGGGACCCTTCCTGTCCCCCAAATTGGTGTCTTCTGTTGTGCCCGAAGCGGACTCGATGCGGACTCGACGCGGATTTGGCGTGGGTTCGACGCGGATTCGACACGGATTCGACACGGATCCGACGAGGCCGACACGGATTCGACACGGATTCGACGCGAATGGGGCCGCGACGGGACAGCCGAGGTCCCCCGAGGATGCAACATAACTCTTGGGTTCATCTTGGGGGCCTCCTGGGCCTCCCGTGGGGCGTGGGAGCCGTCTCGGGGCGATCTCTGCGGCCTCGAGGGCCGCAGAGGCGAAGAGGCCCAGAGCTGTGGAGGACGATCGATGGAGAGGAGGCATGCTGCCAAATAATTTCCAATTTGTCTAGAACATGTGTTAAACATGTTTTGGTCACCAGCCTCCAACCTATCCTTATCCCTAAGATTGACACGTTAAAAGGAGATGACAATCTTAGGGATACACCCTCAGAAACTGAGGAAATCCCTAAGATCGCCATCGTGATGAGGCGATGCCCAACATAGGGATAGGGATATGTTCCAGGCTGGTAATTTAAACATTCTCAAAACATGTCCAGCACATTTTTCTTACATTCTAAGCACATCTAAAACTCAATTGTAGGACTGTCGGGGTTTCCATTGCCGTGGCATCCACAGGCCAAGAGCATGGCAGCACTTCCTGGGTCGTGGCTTGGTCGGGGCCTCCGGCGGCGGCGCCCAGGGCTTCCGGGGCGGCCCGAAGTCTCGCGGGCCGCCCTGATGGACACGCGCGGGGCCGCCCGGGGGGGAGCGCCCAGAAGTCCTGGGGCCGGGGCCTCGTGCAGCGCCTGTGCAATACCCATCGGTCCTCCTCCTCCTCCTCCTCCTCCTCCTCCTCCTCCTCCTCCTCATCATCATCATCATCATCATCATGTTCCTCCTCTTCCTCCTCCTCCTCCTCCTCCGCTCCTCCTCCTCCTCCTCCTCCTCCTCCTCCTCCTCCTTCTCCTCCTCCTCCTCCTCCTCTTCGTTGAAAGTGGGTACTTAGGGATTCCCAGATTCCGATCTACTTTGAGCGCCTTCCTACTCTAATGATCGAGTGGCTTCGCCTTTTCCGTCCTCGTCAGGGGGGGGGGGCGGACACCCAGTCCGCCCTCAACGCCTTCCTACTTCACGCTTCTACCTACTTCTTCCGACCGATGGTTACTCAATGCTGAACTCGAGGGGACCTCAGGACACTCCACGCAGTGCCCACCCTGACTTTGGATCCACCCTACCTTGGGCGATTTCGCAAGCAGGGTGGAACTGTCCGCCCTACTCTCCAAGCTCCATTGGTACCGACTTCCGCACTGCTCTGCTTTGTTTCCGCCATACGTTTGTGTAGACACCCGTCCTACAATGTTGAGGCAGAAATTTCCGCCGTACGTTTGTGCATTTTGTCTGTATGCAATTCCGACAACCCTACGTCGGAAAGTCAGCCAAAGTATGGCGGATTCGAAGTCAGGGAAGTCATGTTTTTTCTTGACGCGAGGTTTGGACGTGTTCCTCTTGGCCAGCTTTTCATTTCGAGTCATCTTCTGACGGTCCACGGGCCATTCCAGGGACTCCGAGGCCGAAAACGACCAGAGTGCATTCACAATGTTCAATGCAGAGCTCTAGGGGACCTGAGGACACACCATTCATCGGCGTCATCCAAGCATACTGTGATACTACGTGCGCGCTCTGACATGTTGTAGTATATGTTCCGTGGCGGGCGCCTGCTGACCACACCGCTCGGGAAACGAAACACCATACAAGATTTGTGTATTGTATGTTCGGTTCAGGCGTGCGCCCCCGAGGAGTGTGCACAGAACCAGAATGTCCTTCTGCGTCCCAAGTCAGTTGCCGCGGTACGGTTGACAAGCGAACAACACGCACCCATACCCACAGGGGGACGGAGGGGGCTATGGGTGCGTGATGTCGGATGGGGGCCTCCGCTCGATCGCGAGCCCCCCCCCCTAGGGTCCTCCTGCGCCCCAACTCAGTGCCTGCGGCAAGGTGGCGGATATCCGCGAGGACTCGAGCGGCGAAGTCTCTGCACGGCCACTGCTCCCCCGGCCTGGCCCACCCTGGGCCCAGGAGTTGTGTAACTATTCAAGGGCGCCCTCGAGGGCGCGAAGTCATTCGCGCTTCGCGGTTTGGCTCCGATTCCTCATCCTCTTCTCCCCTGGGAGGCGGCGCGAGAGCGCAAAGTTATTCGCACTTCGCGCTTCGCGCAGCGCGAAGCGCGAAGTTGGGAGCCCTTGCGTACGTTCGCCCTCCTGGCCAGGCCGGGAGGGCGTGGCGCACACGCCGCTGCTGGGTGCAGGCTGGACCTGGCCAGGGGGAGCAGTTGCCACAGATAAGTGTATGGAGGTGTGCATCCCCTGATCAAGTGTGCTTCGGCCCACCGACAACATCCAGACCAGATGACGACGGTTTACATATACACATACATACACACATACACGCATACATACATACAGAATACATGCATACGTACATGCATACATGTATGAATGTATGTACGCGAGCATACCACCAGGCATATCTACACACATACACACATACATGCATATATACATACATACACACATACGTGCATACACATGCATACACGTATCCACACATACATACATACAATCACATGTACGTACACACATCCATACATCCATATATACACACAAACATAACAACATACAGTCATACATGCACGCATACACACATACATGCACATGTACATCCATACATCGGTGAATGCATCCAGGCATGCAGACACAGGCACACATACATACGTCTACACGTGCATAGGAACATGCATGCATACACACATACATACATGCACATGCACATACATACATACACACATGTATGTATGCACGCATACATACATGCATACATGCGTACATACACATGCATACATGCATACATACGTGCATGCATGCGTGTATACATGCATACATACATACACCCATACATACATGCATGCGTGCATGCATACACGCATACCTACACACATACATACATACATGCATGCATGCATGCATGCATGCATACATACATACATACAGACATACACACATGCATACATGCACACACATACATGCGTGCATACAGACATGCATACGTGTATACATACATGCAGACATGCAGACATGCATACACACATACATGTATACATACACACATGCATACCTATACATGCATACATACATGCATGCATGCATACATGCACACGTACATGCATACATACATACATGCATGCAAGCATACATATAGGCATCCATGCATACATACAAACATGCAACGCACAGACATGCATGCATGCATACATACATACATACATGCAGACATCCATACATACACGTATATTTGCATACACTACGTACATGCGTACACACATACAGACATCCATATACACGCATATATACAGGTACACATACATACAAATGCATACACACATGCGTGCATGCAGGCATACATACATACATACACGCATGCACACAAATATACATGCATGCATTCATGCATACATGCATGCATACACATACATATATATATACACATGCATGCATGCATGCGTACAAAGTACAAACATACATACACCCATACATACATACACATACACACGCATGCATGCATGCATGTGTGCATCCATCCATACATACATGCATACAACTCTGCATGCACACATACATATAAATGCTTGTCTATATACGTGCATACACGTACATACATACATACATGCAGATCTATATACATACAGGCATACATACATCCATGCATGCATATATGTATACATACAGACATGCATACATATGCATGCATACAAACACATGCATGAATACATGCGCGAATGCAGGCATACATACATACATACATACATACATACATGCATGCATGCATGCATGCATACATACACACATACATACATACATACATACACATACATACATACATACATACATACATACATACATACATACATACATACATACACACATACACACATACACACATACACACATACACACAGACATAGACTCCGTCGGCCGGGAGGACGCCATCCTGCAGGAGCTCCGTCGCTCTGACGGCCAGCGGCGGTGCCCAACGGGCCCCGCCTCCCCGGGCGCCTCGTCGCCGGCCTCGCCGCCGGCGCAGCCGCCCAGTCCGCCCGGCGCCGCCGCTCCGCCGCCCGGCGCGGGGAAGCCGCCACAGGCCGGCGGCGCCCGCGCCCGCGCGGAAGGGGTTCGGGTTCGGACGTGGATACGGTCTGGAGGTAGGAGGAGGAGGAGGAGGAGGAGGAGGAGGAGGAGGAGGAGCAGGAGGAGGAGGAGAAGGAGGAGGAGAGGAGGAGGAGGAGGAGGAGGAGGAAAAGGAGGAGGAGAAGGAGGAAGAGGAGGAGGAGGAGGAGGAGGAAGAGGAGGAGCAGGAGGAGGAGGAGGAGGAGGAAGTCGAGAGCTCTAAAGGGCCCACGTCGCAGATAAAGCACGTTGATGTTCGACTACAGTAGCGGTCTGGGAAGGGGCCCGCCGAAGGCGGAAGACATTGTGTGACGGCGTTTGCACGGAGGCGACGTTAATGGCTTTTGGCCGTCCAGCTCAGCATCGCGCCATGCTGCGCACGCTGGGTGGCAATCTCGGCGGGCGGGGGTGGGCGGGCAGGGGTCAAGCAGTGGCGAAGCGTCCTGGCGTGCCTAAGAACCTTTTGTGGTTTGCACGAGATGTCCTTAAAACATTTCTGGTTTGGATTGTCTTGTGTTATCACATCGGGCTTCTGTTCTAAGAGCACTGTGTTTGTTATTTGAACATGTTGGGTTCTAAGAGCATTTCGTGGTAGGACTACAGGAATGCTGGGACGGTCGGTCCCTGCTCAAAGAGGTGCGGGCTGGGGTCGCCGACCAGACTTAAGAAGGGTGACCCTTCGCTGGAGGGACCCCCGGCGCGGGCTCACTGGGCCCCGCCGATCGCCGAGCGCGGTGCGATAGCAGCATCCTGCGCGCTCGGGTCTGCCCCCCCCGCGGCCCCCCCCCCAAAAAAAGCCGCGCACCGAAGGCCACTCTTGCCCAGGGTCACTCTACTCCGGATTCCATGATAAAGTCGGGGGGGTCACATTTGGGGGGGGGGTCTGATTTGAGCTGCCTTGACAGGTTCGGGGGGGTCTGGGCAAAGGGCCGCCCTTTCATGGATGGTGTCTAAAATTTCTCGTCTGGGAGGGTTGAGACCCCTCCCTTTTATTACGAAATCTGGAGTGCCGTGTTGCCGAACGGGTGGAAAGGGGTGTGGTCCCACTGCTGAGTCTGGCAGTGTCGTCTTCGACTGCGAAGAAGCAGCATAATCATGAGCTTTGGACGCTCGATTTCCTGGATCGGCGCTGGGCTCCCCTGGCGGCGCTTCCTGCGCCGCCCCCGCGCCAGAGTGGGGGGGTCAGCGCCGATCCAGGAAATCCGCGCGGAGCCTGTGTTGATGCGACCCCCCCTACGGATATGGGTGTGTGTGTGTGAGTGTGTGTGTGTTGTTCGCTTGTCATTAAAACCGATCCTCATTCCCACCAGGCCGTGGCATCTCGGCTCCACCATCCAACCAACAAAATTGGGAATAGGCCCCTCGGAACCAAAAGGGAACTGCCCACATCCCCATCTAGGGAGGTAAATCGGCCAGTGGGTTCCAGGACACGCCGGTGGGGAGGGGGATCGGAGAAACGATGCTCAGAAAGTGGTTCGAGATGTTCGGGCGTCTTCGTCGGTCCTCGGCGGTTTTCCAGCCTCGGGGTGTGCCTCGCCGAGGATGTTCTGGTGGTGCCCGGATCGTCCCGAACGGCCATCGGATGCCCGAGCCATGGCCAGGATGCTTCCTCCCCCTCCTGCCCCTCCACTTCCGCAAGTCGCAAAGGCGTGCGATCCTCGTTTGGGGGACCTCCCTGGAGCCCACCCAACGGATCTGTTCGACTCCAGTTCGACTCCACTTCGACTCCAGTTCGACCCAGGTTCGACTCAGGCCCGACTCAGGTTCGTCTCCAGTCGACGGACGTTCGACGCAGCTTCGACGCACGAGTGGAGCGAGTGGCTCCAAGAAGGTCCCCAGCGTGAGCATCTAAAAGGCGCTGGCCCCTGTGTACATGACGCCAGCCTCCGCGGCGCCGCCCGCGTCGCCGACCCAAGCGCCGGCACCAGCCGCAGCCCCCGCGCCGGCCGCTCCGCCGGCCGCTGCGGCCCCCGGCGGCAGCCAAGCCACCGACCAGGAGCCACCCACGGAGCGCAGGTTTGTGAAGTACAACGGCAGGAGGCCGCTCAAGGCTCGGCGGCGAGCGAGGGGGGGAAGTGGGCAGAAGCAGAAGGCCTCCTCAGGAGGCGGCGGGGGTTCTCAGAAGCGCCCTGGCCTTCTGAGAAAAGTCTTCCATGCGTCTTCGGGGAAGGCTCAGGCAACGTCTCAGGAGGCCGCGGGACTTCCGAGCCTTCTGAGAAGGCCTGCCCCTGCTCACTTCCCCCCCGAGGCTCGCCGCCCAAAGGCGGGACAGAGTGTGCACGTGTACGACGCGGTGAAGACTGACTGGGAGACGGACTGCGAGATCGTGAACGTCCTGGATGCGCCTCTTCCATGCGGCACGTTCGAGGTGCCTGCCGGATCCATCACGGTCACCATCAGGAACGACGGCAGCGTGACTCGCCGCACCATCCA